GTTTATGCCAAGATTAGGTTGGTTCCGATTGGAAACAAAGAGCTTGATTATGGTGAAGATGGTGTTTTGGGGAGTAATGGGTCTGAAGCCCCTGAAAAACCTGCCTCTTTCGCGAAAACTTTGACTCAATCGGATGCGAACAACGGTGGGGGTTTCTCCGTTCCTCCGATACTGTGCAGAGACTATATTTGCCCCCTTGGATTACTCAGCTGATCCCCCAGTTCAAACCTTAATCACGAAGGACGTTCATGGTGAGATTTGGAAGTTAAGGCATATCTACAGAGGGACAACTAGGAGGCATTTGTTGACCACAGGCTGGAGTAATATTGTGAACCAGAAAAAGCTTGTTGCTGGGGATTCAATTGTGTTCTTCAGGGCAGAGAATGGGGATCTATGTATTGGAATACAGCGGGCCAAGAGAGGAATTGTTGGCGGCTCTGAATCCCCATCTGGATGGAACTCTTCTGCCGGAAATTGTGTTATGCCTTATGGGGGATTTTCAGTCTTCTTAAGGGGAGATGAGAATAAACTAATGAGAAATGGTAGTAGTGGGAATTTGAACTCCAGTGGTTCGAAAGGAAGGGGAAGAGTGAGACCAGAATCAGTTATCCAAGCCGTGTCCCTTGCTGCTGAAGGGCAGCCCTTTGAGGTTGTGCATTACCCTCGTGAAAGTACTCCGGAGTTTTGCATCAAGGCTTCGTCTGTTAGGACTGCAATGAGGATTCAGTGGTGCTATGAGACGACATTCAAAATGGCATTTGAAACCGAGGATTCTTCCCGGATCAGCTGGTTTATGGGAACTATAGCTTCTGTTCAGATTGCTGACCCCAGCCACTGGCGTAATTCCCATGGCGGATTCTCCAGGTATCTTTGTATAAAGATAGAGCTCTATTTTCTCAAATTTTTTATTCTGAATTTTGGATTAACTTCTATTGATGTATTTATATTTGTTTTAGCAATGTCATTTTGTTAATCATGTTACTTTGCACATTTAGCTTTCGATCTTCTTTGTTGATATTGTTGAACTGCATGTAAAAATAACTCAGATGTTCGGTAATGGAAGTTTTAACCTTCATAAATGCTGTATCAGTGCATAAAAACTCATTACTTTGAAATCTCTTGATCTGTGAGTTATCTTTCATTAATATCTTATAGGTTTCCTAATTTGCTTTTGATGAGTTTAATTTAGCCTGCTGAATTCATATTTCCACCTCACTTCCTAGCAGCTTATGCCATATGGTTGTATTTGTAATTGAATGCCAACTCACTCATAGCTGTTAGAATAAGCATGTAGTATTATACCGGCATATATTCTTGGATCAATGATAGTGTACTTCTATTATAATACAAATATTCCAAACATTTTAACTAAACTACACGACATCTAGTCCATCAGCTACTCAAATTTAGAAGTTTTATTTCCTCCTTCCCGCGGTGACTGACAGAAACCACATGCTGCATTTTCCTTAATATTCCATCTGCAAGTTTTATTAAAAAACTGACTTTCTCTGCAGTTTGACAATTTTGCACTATAGGCTTACTCTTCATGTGAAGTAATCTGTTGATATGGTTAGAATAGGAATACTAGCTGAAAAGTACATCTATTTACATGGATTTCTTATCTTCTAGTTCTGACACATCAAGATGCTTGAGATGTTACAAAATAAAGATGCCCTTATCGCTTGAGTACTTGTAGGATTCCTGTGAACTGCATGGGTAAAATGCTTAGTGTAGGTGTTTATGCACAATTATGAAGCTAAATTACTCTTCAATGTTCTTCTAACTGGTCTCTCTAATTCTTACTATTGTTAATATGTTTGATTCCTTTACGTAATTCTTGATTTTGCTAACTACTTATTTTGGCCTTTTCTGTTCTTTAAACAATGATGTGAAGAAACTTTTTGTTCTAACTTTTGTTTCCTTATTTCGTTCGCGGTGGTTATGATATGCCATTTAATGAGCCCCATCTTCGTCTTTATGTAGTCCAAGATCTGTTGTTGTTAGATGATTTTTGCATCTTTTGTCACTCAGTTTAGAAGTCTGCATGTGCTTATTTTCATAGTGAAGTTGATACCAAACTGTTTAAGAAAGATTTGGATAATCATGTCTATGCTCTTGGGATCTTGCTCTTGTTGGCCTCTTGTTCTTACATATTTGGAACCAATTGCAGGTGACATGGGATGAGCCGGATTTGCTGCAAAATGTAAAGTGTGTCAGCCCATGGCTGGTTGAATTGGTTTCAAACATGCCAGTCATTCATCTCTCACCCTTCTCACCGCCAAGAAAGAAGTTGCGGTTCCCGCAACACCCAGACTTTTCCTTTGACGGCCAATTTCCAATGCCGTCATTTTCAGGCAACCCCCTCGGTCCCAGCAGTCCCTTGTGTTGTCTCTCTGACAACATTGCTGCAGGCATACAGGGAGCCAGGCATGCTCATTTTGGAATACCCTTACCAGATATCCACCCTAGCAACAAATTGCAGCTGGGCCAATTCTCATCTAGTTTCCAGCGGCTTGATTTACGTGCTAAAATCACTGATGGCATCATCCCAGGCAACACAAATAGCAATGAGAATATATCTTACTTGCTAACCATGGGAAACTCTGTTCATAACTCAGAGAAAACTGATAATGTAAAGACACCCTTCATACTATTTGGTCAACCAATACTGACCGAGCAGCAGATATCCCATAGCTGTTCCAGTGATTCAGTTTCACAAGTTCCGACTCGGAAACATTCAGTAGAAAGGATTCCAGAAAAGGAAGAAAGATCTGCAATTCACCGGCAAGATCACGAAGTTGAGGAGGTTACTTGGGAGCTCGAGCAGGAGGTTCGCTCCGGGTATCCCGCATTGTTCTCTTCACCAAGTATGGTTTGATTTCAGGAACGAAATCCTTTTAAGTTGGGGAGATTGTAGTGCTCCTGTTTTTCGCCATTTTTTATTTTTTAGGAATTTTTGTTTTTACGAGAGCCCTTTCGTCTTTTCTTGTTTTGCGTGCCGGACACTGTGGGGTGTGCCGGATGTTTTTGAGAGTTGCGTGAGACATTTCCTTGGGTTCAGGACTCTTGGAAATGCACCGGTTGTCATTTTGGTATTTTTTCGTTTTTCAAACCGGAAAGTCCCGGGTGGGACCCGCTACCGGAATTGTTGTATATGGGAATTGCGTTACGGGTCCATGGCATTTCATGCATAATTATTTTGTGCATAATTTTATGTTGTAAGTTAAATTGGGTGGTTATGTAATTTGAGCATATACATATATTTTGTGGTGGGAAATTAAAGGTGGGATTTTTGTGTTAGTGGTGGGACCCACCAATGTCCCTTTCCTCTTTATGGCCAATTGCCATTGCATGGCCTCATTTGATTGGAGTCGAGCACCATTTAGCCAACCATTGGATTTTTGAATTTAGGGCTTGATTTTAGGGCTTTTCTTATCTTTTGAGGTAGAGATCTTTAATACACAATTTCTTCTGCTTTTGTGGGTTATTCTTTCTTAAATTGTTATCTAGCATGCTTAACTTGTGTAAATTCTTGCAAAATTACTTAAATGTTGTATATGGAATGTGTGACTATGTGTTAGTTGATATGTTGTGAAAAAGCATACTTCTTTGAAATAGAATTCATGTTTTATATGCCTATTATGTTAGATCAATATTAAATGAAAGCACGAGTTATGAAATTTATTTTGACAAGTATGTGTGAAATTCTTTGGTTGAATTGGTGATTAGAAGTATGAAACATTTATGCATCCATTGGGAAATGAAAAGATAAAAGTATTTTAAGACAAATGAAATTGTTTTGGGAAAAATGTTTTCTAAAAGTGTTTGCGAAAACCGAACACCTAGGAGTTGCCTAGTGGTCCGTGGCGTTAATGTGGTCTACAGGGGACTAGGGAGAGACCCTAGCGTGGTTGAGCTAACTAGGCTAGATACGACGCCTTAGAGTTTCCTTATGGTCTTGGATGGTTAGCCAATCATCCTTTCGTGTCGCCTTGGGTCGGATTGCACTAACGGTTTGGAAGATGAAACGGTATTGCTTCGAAAATGGGAAATGGCATTGCATGACATAGCATTCCATGACATGGCACGGCTTGTTTATGACTTGGTAGTTGTTGTTGATTTTGATGTTGAGTGCTTCCCCGGTAAGGCATGATCCCATTTTCTTTACTTTCTATTCATTGTATTGATTCACGGGGTCACAAAAGGTGTGTCTTAGGCTCCTCCTACTGAGCTTATACTCACCCCATTATCTTAACATTTTTCAGGTTCGAGAAAAGAAGTAACAGATGAAAATCCACCACAAGCCTAGTCGGGTTGAAAGAGATTTGGACTTCTTTTGTGTTTGATGTGTATATTACCCCTTTGTTGTAAATTGTATTAGGTGGCATCGTGTATCTATTCAACGGGTAGAAATGGTTTTGAGACCTCAGCACTATCTTTTGGGGTCTCATTAGGATTTTTATCTTCTTTTAGGTTTATAGCTTTTCAACGATGTAAATTAAAGTCATTTTGTTTATGAACATTGTAATCGGACATGTATGATGAATGTATGATGAAATCAAAGTTTTCCTTACGTCGCCATGTTGTAGAATTCATTGAATTAGCTTGCTAAATTGTTTATTTTACCATTCATATATGTTGGGACTGACAGAGTTGAATGTACAGCTTAGAAATGCATTGGGGTAGCAAAATTTCAGACGTCCCAAGTTAGGAGCCGGCTCTTCCTCTTTGGGAGTCTACTCTTTTTAGTCCAGTAGCCAAATTTCATCAAAATCATAGCATGGAGCCTGCTCTTTTGGAATGGAGCCTGCTCCTTTGGAATGGAGCATGCTACTTTGGAGTGGAGCCGAATCCTTCTGCAGAAAGGAGGCGGTTCCATCCAAAATGGGAGCCGGCTCCATCCAAAATGGGAGCCGGCTCCCTTGCTGCTTGTCTCTTTTTTTTAATTCAAACTTTGGATGGCTATAACTTTCTCGTTTCAAATCCAAATGGGTTCATTCTTAATTCAAATTTCCAGTATTTTCAGTCACCTTTCCAATGAAATCAATTTCACTCAAAAATTCAAACCGTAGAGAGAGTTATGACCTTTTTAGTGTGGACTGCTCCGGTTTCACAAACATAACTTACAATGACATAGATGATTGAGAAGCAAGCAATTGTCCAGTATCTTCCTAGATATGCGTCAGCGAGAAATGCTCCTATTAGTGGTGTGATGTAGTAGGTTCTAGACCAATTCAAATCATTCTTAGAAGTGGTAGCACTGTGCTGGTGCAGACGATGCTTGAAATAAAGTACCAGATTGATGTTACGGCAACCTTTCACAGCATTCATTTCCTGCCAATCACCATAAAAACCTATAAAAATTTTGACACAAATTTCAGATTCTTTAAACTTGAGTAACTGATTAATAAGATGCATACATACGTAGGATAAAGGGACATGCCTTCCATGTTCCTGTTTTCTTCTTATTGACAGGATTATTTTTGTAATCCACCGTCCCATCTTTCATATACATATCATCTTCTGCCAGGCTTACCTTCCCATCTTTACTATAGATATCATCTTCTGCCATGGAAGTCTAAAAAGTGTTCTATGCTTGATTTAGCATTCTATTTGTTTAGCTGGACATTGGGCACAGACAAACAAATTCATTTCATGGAGGAGACAACATGAAAAAATTGGTAGAATTATGATTCCTCTCCTATATAGGGCTGCAAGTTGGACTGGCCCAACCCAGCCCAGCCCCAACCCAACCCAACCTCAACCCGAATCGGGTTGGGTTGGGCTAACCCGAATTGTACTTAACATGGGTTGAAATCATAACCCGGACCAAATATATATTTTTTTTTTTAAATTTAATTATATATAGATATAATTTTTTTTTTGAATTTATATATATTATATTATATATATATATATATATATTTGATTATATTATTATAAAAAATATATATTTTTTTAGGGCAATCATTTCTGCCTTCCCAATCGCCTCAATCTCTCCTCGTTCTCTGCTCTCTCAACTCTCAAGCTTGCCCCCCTCTCAACTCTCAGGTTTCGTCCATGGACGGCGGCAGAGACAGAGAGAAAGAAGAGAGAAGGAGAAAAAAAAAAAAAAAAAAATTGGGTTTTGGGTTGGGTTCGGGTTGAGCTCGAGCCCAACCCGAATATGTCTGGGTTTTGATAAAACCCAACCCGAACATGAACCCGATTTGTAAATATAAGTCCCAATTTCAAATTTTCTGGGTTGGGCTGGGTTAACCTGCCCAAGTTGCAGTCCTACTGCTATATGATTGCTAAGAGGAGAGAAGAAAAGAAAAGAGAATTTTGGCAGATTAGGAATTTTTTATTCTCAGTTTTATTTTCTTCTCACTTTTAGCAACCATTAGGTTCAATCCTAAGATTACTGAAACACAAATTGAAGGTAAACGTACAAACAATATAGACTATAAATACCCATTTACAGATAATTCAGAGGTCTAGCCATCATCTCAGAGGCTCAGAAATCAAAACCACCCCACCCCAATATATATATGGGAAGCTAACTTTGAATGAATGAATGGAATTTTGTTACGACAGATGCAGCGAATCCAAGCAACAATCACAAAACACGACATAAAAATAAACACACCATGCAAAGAGTTTTACGTGGAAACCAGACGAAAGTCTTCACTATATGTAAAATGAGAGATTACAAGTTTCAGCCCTCACTCTCTTTTCTATATAATTTTCAGTGTCTCTGGATAATACACTTCAAACCCTAAACACCCTTATATATCGGACTACAATAGTACTAATTAAGCTCCACAACCCACAAGCAAAACGGGTCAAAAAATTTCCCATCGCAACACGACCCGGCAACAAATTCGGGCCACAACATTACATCTTAACAAAATGAATGAATTTAAACATAAAAAAATAAAACTTTACACAACTAGGAAAAAAAAAACTTTACACATTTTTCACATAAAAAGTTTATGTTTTCTCATTTCACTCAACTTGAAAGCATAATGAATAATTAAGTAGATAGATAAAAAACAAATAAATAAATAAGGTGGAATGAAATATAAGATGAAGCCCAAATATTCATCAAATCATACTTTTGCAATGTCCCAATCACAAGAAATGATGATGATGATATTGAAGATCACGTTACAAGAGTTGAAAGTCGTGCCAGTTATTCAGGGACTGCAATGTGATCTCTACCATCACAGTGCAGAACATGTAGGATAGGAAACATTTTTGTGTTAGGACATTCAAACACAAATACAGCAAGAAGGCTGCATTTCTGATTTCTCCAATAACTCATTAAAACAATTCCCATGAGCTCTACCTTTTCTATAAAGCAAAAATGCACACACTTTCATCTAACTTCATACCAAAATATATGTGTGTGTAACACTATCCTTTGCTGGACCCAAAAAAATATACTAACTCACTCGTGTTGTCTCCCATGCTTTATTCTATTTCTTTAGTGTTTTGTGCAGAATACAACCCAGAATCTTATTATTAGCCTGATTCTTGGTGCCAATGACAAACATGAGACATAAGCCCACCATTAAATTGAAAAAAAACCTACTAAATTTATTATTAAGAAGATTTATAGATATATTGGTTTAAATTAGTATAATTACAGAAATAAACAAATATGCACATGTCCTTCTGTCAATGCAATTTTTACCGCATGAATCGTCAACAAAACAAAGTACAATATAATTTAAAAGGATTGTCTATCAAAATAAAATGCATCCATAATACAATTTTTAAGTTTGTACTATGCAGTTGTTGAAGGCATAACCACATTACATACAATAAATTGAAATTCCTTGTCAGGACTTGATAGAAAATATATTGAAATAACACCAAATTTCAGAACAAGTTCTTGCAAAGTTGAGTTGAGTATTTCAGGATATTCACAAAAAATTTAATACTACAAAGCATTCAATCTAATAAATCATGGCTGCCCAAATCCTGAATGAACATCTCATTTAGCTTTGACAAAAACCCAGGAAAAAAGAATCCGATTTCCAATGCTGCATCAGTTTTCATATAGTCCTAGGCAAACAAAAATATGTAATAAATAATTAAACATTAAAAATAAATAAAAATTTTAAAAAATTAAATTCATACCTTTCTCTCCCAATGATTTGTGGAAATATTTTCCGGAATGCTTCACAAATTTTGTTATCAACATAATTAGCTGAGACAATGAATCACCGTACTCGCACTGGTCTATGACTTGATTTGTAAATGTAAATCCCATCATATCATATCCAAGAAATTTATTTCCATTTGGATGAGTTTCATCTTCTTTTATGTTACGCCACGATGGTTGAGTCTGCTAGATATTTTTATTAATTAATTGGACGGACGTTTCTCCATATAGTGCCCAATTGTCATGTAATAGTTGAATCATTCCTCATATTTTTTGAGCTAAAACACATTAAACCAATTTAATAAAAGTGGGATCTAAAGAAAATACAAAAATGATATTATTGAATGATATAATTAGAGAACTCACTTGACAAAAACCAGGAAAAAAGAATCCGATTTCCAATGCTGCATCAGTTTCCATATAGTTCTAGGGAAACAAAAATATGTAATAAATAATTAAACATTAAAAATAAATAAAAATTTTGAAAAATTAAAATTCATACCTTGTTCTCTCCCGATGATTTGTGGAAATATTTTCCGAAATGCTTCACAAAATTTGTTATCAACATATTTAGCTGACACAATGAATCACCGTACTCGCACTGGTCTATGACTTGATTTGTAAATGTAAATCCCATCATCTCATATCCAAGAAATTTATTTCCATTTGGATGAGTTTCATCTTTTATTATGTTACGCCAGTCGAGTCTGTTAGATATTTTTATTAATTAATTGGACGGTGTTTTGAAGACGTTTCTCCATATAGTGCCCAATTGTCATGTAATAGTTGAATCTCTCTTTATCAGTCATGAGGACTGGGTGATTCTTCAGATTTTTTGCGCTAAAACACATCAAAGCAATTTAATAAAAGTGGGATCCAAAAGAAAATACAAAAATGATATTATTGAATGATATAATTAGACTCACTTGGCCTTATCCAAATTACGAAATATTAAACTTCTTCGCATGAATATCCTGGATGGCACCCAAGATGTTTCTGTACAAGTACGAAATATTAAACTCTAATATTAACAATTAAAAAATATATATGAATAACACAAAACAAAATAAAATTAAAGAACCCTATGGATGTTTTCCAGAAAGGGTACAAGTCCAAGGTGTCGAAACTGTTCTTCATGAAGAAAGCCTTAATATTGTCCTCTTTCATTGCCCATTCTAAATAGTACTCATCAAAGTGGTGATAAACAACTAGTGCATTTTCCCCTTTAAAGTCGAGATATACATCTTTTGGTGATAGGAGATCAGGAGTTCTGATATCTAATAAAAATGATGACACAAGTGAATCACAATACTCTGGCGGACGACGGAATATTCTAACTTTTTCACGCTTGTTTGCAAATCTTTGCCACCCACCCATGATTTGCTCATGTCATTCTCCCATTCCCATTCGTATTTAAATTCAACATGTTTTTATAGCAACGCTCTTAAATTTACCCATTCTTAGCTTTCTCAACTAGATCCTTCGGATTGGTGTTTAACATTAACTTGTAATTCGACAAAGTAATTTTAGCTAAAACACACACATAAGAAATTCAAGTATACCAACTCAATCTCATCAATGCGGATCAATTTGAACAAAATAAAGAGCGAGATCAAAAGAAGACAGCAACAAAACAAAAAAAAACAAAAAACCAGAAAAAAAAAGGGGGGGGGGGGGGGGGGGGGGGTGGGGTGTGGAAGATCATTCTTTCAGAGGAGAGGGGTTGCAACCCTATAAATCATACAGAGGAGAGGAGAGGACGCCACCCAGCCAAGGGCGGATCCAGGATTTCTTAATGGGGTGGGCTAAATCAAAATATATCAACCAAAATCAACTGTTGTTTAATTCAATTTTAGTTAATTAACAATGTTTCTTTAGATAATTGACTGATTAAGGCATAGAAAATCCTATTTGGGTAATTAATAAAAAAAATTACCAATTTATTTCTAAACAATTCTCAGTACCCTATATCTTCTTTTGACCAATTTACTAATCCTATCTAAGAATCTACTAGTGGAAGCAGAGTGTGAGGTAGTTCATGGCAAGCCCCTTCCAACACTATGGAATTCACTCAAAACCATGTTTTTTGTTAAGTATTTTAATTTTCAAGAAGTAACTTTAGAGATTTACCCTATACTAATCAAAGTTCTTGTTATGATTTTTTTTTTAGTTCTGAAAAGATTTACATCTTAAAAAAGCTAGGCATGTTGATAAAAATTGTTTCAGATTCAATCTCGGAAGACTTCCAATCCAAGTCAGATTCTTCTTTTTTTCTTTTTCATGCCCAGATTCAAATTTTCTTGTAGACATAATTGACAACAAAAAAAAGCAGAAATAGAAGTTATAGAAATATATATATATATATATTTAGATTATGATATGTTTGGTTAGCGCAGGCCAATCGACAGCATGTGGAATCAAAGTAATAAATCCTGCAGAGGATGTTTCCAAAGATGAGCACTTATCAACATCATCAGTAGTCATCACTAGGATATTAACATCCTCCATCTAGAATCGTCATCTAGAATCACGTAATTCTAGAATTACGTGATTCTGTTGCATAGCTATACATTTGATTAAGATAAACTGGAAAGAGACTCTCTCATAATTGGTCATTTTAAAACCAACATCACTGCTACAACGGTTATATAATTCAATTAGCTAGACAAAAAAACATACCTATTTTCTTTTTTGCCGACTCCACCCATTCCTATCTACTCTCGTCTTTCAGAAAAGAGACCTATATTATTAGGACAAAAGAGGAAAAGTTTTAAAAGCGTTAATAAACTTATAAAACATATATTCTGAAATTGAAAACTAAACTTCCAAGTCTTTAATTCCCATTAATAAATCGTTCGAGCATCACATCATAACAATATTATATATATGTATGTAGAAAAAAAAAATAAACAACAGTGTGTAAAACTTGAATAAATAAACGTAACCAATAGCTAAAAATGCCAATTAAAATTTTAGAAAAAATAAGAGTTTGTTACCTGATGACTGAGGAGGCATGTTTCTTGAACCTTGTTCTTGCTAAATGTTAAGGTCCGATGCTAACCCTAAAAATAAGAAAACACTAAGTTGCAAGGAAGAGGTTTCACAATCTCACTCATAACAATTAAAACACCACCATCTAAGTATTATTTGTATTATGTATCAACCCAACCCAAATATGCTTTCAGTCAAAATGTTGGACACCTATCTGTAAAAAGAGGTGTAATTACAGATAGGTGTATTATACTAGGCTCTTATGTTATATTAATCCAGTAACAAAGTACAATGCATCAGTTTAAGAATAATCTTCAAAATTAACAAATGAATATCCTCTATTATGCATTCTAATAACAAAAGAAAATCAAAAACCAAAATATGAAAATAAAAATATGACAGAAAGATTGAATATATCCTTCGTGCATTACACATATTGTATTTCTATGTGAAACAAAACATTATTAGTAGGGCGGATCCAGGATTTCTCAATGGGGTGGGCTAAATCAAAATATATCAACCAAAATCAACTGTTGTTTTATTCAATTTTAGTTAACTAACAATGTTTCTTTAGACAATCGACTGATTAATGCATAGAAAATCCTATTTGGGTAATTAATAAAAAAAATACCAATTTATTTCTGAACAATTCACCACTCAGTACCCTATCTCTTCTTTTGACCAATTTACTAATCCTATTTGAGAATCTACTAGTGGAAGCAGAGTGTGAGGTAGTTCATGGCAAGCCCCTTCCAACACTATGGAATTCACTCAAAACCATGCTTTTTGTAAGTATTTTAATTTTCAAGAAGTAACTTTAGAGATTTACCCTATACTAATCAAAGTTCTTGTTATGATTTTTTTTTAGTTCTGAAAAGATTTACATCTTAAAAAAGATGGGCATGTTGATAAAAATTGTTTCAAATTCAATCTCGGAAGACTTCCAATCCAATTCAGATTCTTTTTTCTTTTTTTTTTCTTCATGCCCACATTCAAATTTTCTTGTAGACATAATTAACAACAACAACAAAAAAAAAAAAAAAGAAGAAAGAGAATTAGAAGTTATAGAAATAAATAAATAAATATATATATATATATATATGTTTTGCTGAAATAAAATATAGTCCATGGGGGCATTTTGTAAGAAAAAAATGTGATAGTTAAAGAGTATTGCCTAAAAAATATAGTTCAGAAAGTTATTTATTTATTTATCTATTTTTTTTTTCAGAAGCTCAGAAAGTTATTTGTAAATTTAATTAAGCATAGTTGAGTGAGATTTTTTGCACCCTACTCAAAAAATTTGCCATTTTACTTTCCTCTGAACAACGGAAAATGAACCAATAATTTAAATAATAAAAGACGTAAAAATTTCAATAAACCGTATCTCTCTCAAATATTGGTTTATAGGTAATAAAATGCTTAATAAGTACAAACAAATCATAAATAAGTCAAATTTGGTCACGATCTGGTCACGATCTAAAAGTTAGCATGAAGGGGTCCACTTTTTGACTCAACAAAATCAAGCTTTACTAAGCACTGGTATTGACTGAGTCCATAATGGGGTAAAGAAATTAAAACAAAACCCATACATACAAGTTAGCAGTTGCAGATAGACAGGGGGCAAGCTTGAGAGTTGAGATACAGCGGACCAGCGGCTGAAGCTTGCGAACGGCTCAGATCTGATAAATGTTACGTGCTAATAACATCAACAACAAAAATAGTAACCAAAAAATAAATTAACATAAAAATCTAAAAAAAAAAAAAAGAGAAAAGATAGAGACACAGAGAAAGATCTATACTAACTCAGATCTGATAAATAGTTCGGCTGAAGCTTGCGAACGGCGAGCTAGAACTGGAACAGCGGCCAATGGAAACTGAAAGATATGGGTTTTGATTTTTTGAACAATCTGAAATGATACGCCGATATGGGTTTTTGATATAGGTAATAGGTTTTGATTTCTTCCAGACAGATAGATAAACTGAAATATATGGGTTTTGAACTTCTGATTCTTGTCGATTTTGTAGTTTGCAGTTGCAGAGAGAGAGGGAGAGAGAGGAGGGGGCAAGTTCAGAGTCGAGAACGAGAATAGAGATGGAGGCGATTGGGGAGGCTGAAATGATTTGCCCTAAAAATATTTTGTTTTTAGGTGACCTTTAAATTTTGAGCCCTAGACGACCGCCTTTGTCGCCTTGGGTCAGGCCGGCCCTGGCTTTTTTGGTTTGGGCCTTTAATGGTGGCCAACTTAACGCCCTTACAATAAGGGTGGTACTTGTTTTAACATGCTTGACAACTTATTTTATAATTTTAAGGGTGCCAATTTAGGTATTTAACTAATTTCAATAAATGGGATTTTTTTTTTACTCAGGCTTCATGAAAAATAAAATTACTAAGGCCCAAAACTTGAAAAGCCACACTTGAGCCCAGCAGACTTATATAGCATGCAGTAATAATTGAACAATAACAACAGGAAAAAAAAAAACAGGATAGGTCATGTGTGACACTAATTACTAATATTGAATCTAATACAAATTAATTAAAACAAATACAGTTATCAGATTATATAAATTTGACATATACTACTTTGTTATTTAATTAAATAAATAATAATTAAACTAACAACCAAAGAAACAATTAATTGAATTAGCCTTTAAAAAAACAATTAATTGAATTAGATTTTTAAAAAGTAAAAAATAAATAAAAAAGGAAAACCAATGGCATACCAAAAGTAGTCAACATTGTGGAGATTTCCAACACCATCGGAGTACAACCGTTGACCCAGTCGACCGGACACTCCATAAAGAAGAAGAAAGATGAAAAAATTATATATATTATGCCACACCATGATGCTTCTTTTTGTACTTTTTTGTTAAGTACTTATAATATATTTCATGAAATATTGTCAAATATATCTTTGAATATGATTAACAACAAACTGAATCTTATTGCATGAAGACAAATACGAAGTGGTATTGTCGAAACTAGAAAATCAAAGTCATGGTACATG